AAAAAAAAAAAAACAGAGAGCAAAGTCAGGTCATAAATACAGGGGAAACCAAGGAGTTCATAATTTTTCTGTGGAGCATTTCATGAGGGGAGAAAAAAGCTGCATTTTTCACTGGTGACATTTCAGCTAGCATTGGATTTGTCCAGTAGATGTGATAAATAGAACCACAGAATCATTCAGGATGGAGAAGACCTCCAAGCCCATCAAATCCAACCTCTGATCATCGCCATGCCCATCACTCCATACCATCCTCTCCAGGACACCTTTCTCCACAGTGACAAATTCCTGGGACACCGAACACCTTGAAAGTCCTACCAACAGGTTAGAGACATCTATTTACAGACCAGAGATCAATGAGGAGTTCCCAGCAGAAAAACCATGGAACCCCAGAATGGTTTGGGCTGGATGGGACCCCGATTCCCATCAATGGGGTGGCACCAAGGGTCAGAAAGCCAGAGGAAGAGAAGAGCCAGGAAGCAAAGGAGGATGTCAGCTCAGCCCTGACCATGCCAGGATGTGCAGAAGCCAGCAGAACCCTCCCTTTCCTCCCTCTGGAGGTGAAGGATGAACTCAAGGAAGAAAGAGAACACAGCTTTGATGAAGATGAGTAAAACACAGGAAAAAGGCTGAACTTGTTCGACTCGACACGGCTCTTCCCATGTTCCCTTTGAGTTCTGATTTTTAATTTTTATGAACTAAGGAGAAACAAGAGATGATAAGGGATGATGGGGAGAGGCTGACTTGGGCACCAGAGTACCTGGCAGAGCCTTCTGCAGCAGCCAAAGCCTACAGAATTCTCTTGATTTGTTTTTTTTCCCCCTGCAGTGATGTGACAGCAGGGGAAAAACAACTGTCTGAGGCAGGCTCAGTCCTACAGCTGGAAGGACCAGGAGACTGTGGAGCTTTTGTGCTTGGAGGAGAGGGAACAACCCACCTGCAAGGCTGGATGGGGCTTGGAGGCAAAGTTCTTCTGATAGTACAAATCACAGAATCCTTAAGGTTCGAAAAGCCCTCCCACACGATCGAGTCCAGCTGTTCTCCCAGCACTGCCAAACCCAGCCCAAACCCTGTCCCCAAGTGCCACATCCACAGGCTGTCCCAACACTTCCAGGGATGGTGACTGTGCCACTGCCTGAGCACCCCTTCAATGCAGAAAGGTTTTCTGATCTTTTCCAACCTAAACCTCCCCTGGCACTTCCCTGTCGAACACTCAGCATGCAAAAAAGGTGGGAAACAAGCACAGGCTGATGGTGGAATATCAGCTCAACGAGAATCACAGAATGGTCTGGGTTAGAAGGGATCTTAAAGTTCATCCCATTCCACCTCTGCCATTCCAGGGACACCTTCCACTCTCCCAGGTTGCTCCAACCCCATCCAGCCTGGCCTGGGACACTTCCAGGGATCCAGGGGCAGCCACAGCTACTTGGATGATTATTCTTAATATTTTCATGTAAAACAAAATGTTTTTCCTTAGTTGCCTTCTTGGAAACAGCAAGACTTGTTTTGGCTGCAGTCCCCTCAAAAATTTCATCTGCTGCAGACACCTAACAGGGAAGGTTTAGGGCCAAAATCTCCACATTTGGAAAATCACATGGAATTAAGAAAAGCCTGATTTATGAGTATATAAATATATAAAATACTTCAGGAGTATCATTTACAAGAAACCCACAAATAAAAAAAAATTAACAGGCAGTGCTAGCGGTCATGGTTAAGAATGAAATAATCTTTTATTTTATTTTTAGTCCTGCCCTTAACTCTCCTACACACACGAAGGTCCTAAAATATCCCCAATCTGGGAAAAGTCTTTTCCCATGTCAGCACTTGGATGCTATCCCATGGGATAAATCTGCCACACGCACGCAGCACTAGCACTGAAGTGATTTTAACTCATGACTCCTATAAATCAAACACAGGGAAATCAGTTTAATTAAACCCTCTCTGCCTGATTTTGCTGTGGAGAGCAATGGACAAGGCTGGAAGTCAGAGTGCTCCAGTGGCTCTCCAGCTCCTGGGAGGTCCAGGAGAAAGTCTGAATGAGCTCAGTGGATACGTCACATCCAAGGCTTTGGAAAAGCTTTAAAACCCTTCACGCCAAAAATCCCTCCAGCTGACAACTTCCCTGAACAAAGAGCCCCAACTCCCTGCCCACACCCCATGGCCCTGGTGCCAGGGAGTGTTTGGAGGGGGAGGAAATGGGATCCCTGTGGAGCAGCAGCTCCCCAGAGCCCTGTGTGCGGGGCCAGGGCTGGCACCCGCGGTGGCAGCGCTCCAGGAGGACAGCATTGACGTCAGTGACTTGTGTAACCATCCTGCCTCAGCCTGGCCCACAAACAAGGGTTTGGGGGTGGTGTGTATGTGGGGGGGGGGTTGTGGCTTCTCCCACTCTTTGATCCAGCCCTTGGCAGTTGTGTTTTCTCACAGGACTGGAACGGTGGAAATATTTGGAGGAACCTCTGCTGTAAATGGAACAGCAGCGATCTGAACGGCCGCCTGCCACGGGCTTGTCCTGAGCCACAGAGCTGCTGCTGGAGTTGCTGCTGTCCTAAGGAGAGCCTCCACTGGAACTCCTTGGGAGGAGTGTTTAGAAAGCCTCAAACCAGAACAAATCCCAGAATAGTTTGGGTGGGATCTTAGAGATTATGCAGTTCTACCCCCTGCCATGGGCAGGGACATCTGCCACTGTCCCAGGGTGCTCCAAGCCCCATCCAACCTGGCCTCGGACACTGCCAGGGAACAATTCCTTCCCAATATCCCATCTATCCCTGCCCTCTGGTACTGGAAAGCCATTCCCTATGTCCTGTCCCTCCATCCCTTCTCCCCAGTCCCTCTCCAGCTCTCCTGGAGCCCCTTTAGGCCCTGGAAGGGCTCTGAGCTCTCTGGAGCCTTCTCTTCTGCAGGTGAACGCTCCTAGGTCTCTCAGCTTTTCAGCAAATGTTTCAGTGTATCTGAGTAACCTCCCTCACAAATACATCCTAGTGTTGTCATGCCTGAGAGAGGTCCAAGGATGAGAATCCCAGGGACGTTGGGAGGTAGAGCCCACAAACACACCTGCCCCAGACACCCCGAAATCGCACGCTTGAGGCTGCTGTGGAGGAAACAAAAGGCATTGAAAGCTCCGTGCCCACCTTGCTGATGTGCAGCTGCTGCTGCTGGAACTGCTGTTTGTGTTTCTCCAGGAACTGCTGGTGCTGCTGCTGGATGACCAGCTGCTGGAGGGCCTGGGCGTTCTGGGGCAGGGGAGCAGACTGGGTGCGCCCCAGCGGGCGGTGCTGCCGCAGCTTGTGGATCGAAGGGGAGACCCTGTCTCCACCCACCAGGGGCTGTGCGTGCAGGGGCAGTCCTGAAAGATACCAGTCTGAAGATAATATGGAGGAAAAAACAGCAGAGGAGAAACGAAAGGAAGAAGAAAGGAAGGAAGGAAGGAAGGAAGGAAGAAAGGAAGGAAGGGAGAAAACGGCTGTTGAGTAACGCTGACGGTGACAGTGATACCACGTCAAACCCAGCCACCTCTACAGCTGGAGCTGCCTTGAGAGAGAGCAGATCAATTAATCACCACTGCACACAGCAATGCTTTGCTTGCTTTGAGTTCTGGATCTGCTTGGTGACTCAGAGACCCTCTGGAAACATCCAGCAGCACCTTACTGACCTTTCTGCTGCTACAGGAGACCACATTGGTCTGGAGTTTAAACCTCCCAGCTCACCTTGGTTTAGGGACTGATCCCAGGTTCAATTCAAGCTGCACGAACCAGCTGCCTCCCTTTGGGCAAGAAGCCCTCTGCTCTCCTCAGGCTTTGCTTTAGCAGAGGGAGAAGCTGCCCAGAAGTCTGCAGCCAGCTGGATGCTGAGCATTATGAACACCTTGGCATTTGTGTCCCAGCATGTGATCTCCTTTCCCACCCATCCACAGAACTGCCCTGGTGGAAGGAGCTGACTCATGGGAAAGCCTCTTTTCTCGGTAGACTTAGAGAGTTTCTCCCACTCTCTGCTTTTTCTGAAAGGGATCATGTGAAGGGGTATTTGATTTTATAAATGCATGCTCCTGCAGGTGGTGGTGTGCACACACACAGGTCTGTGTATGAATACATAGATCATTGGGAAAGATGTGTTCCTCTTCCCTGAGAGCACAGCTCCTCTTCCCAGAAGTTCCAATCAGACAGCAGAGCTTGCAGAGGATATTCTGGAAGACTATCCTCCTCCAAGGTGCTCCTGGGACAGCTTTCCAGGAGACACCATGTTCACAGAATCCTGGAACCTTAAAACTCATGTCATTCCACCCCTCCCATGGGCAGGGACACCTTCCACTATCCCAGGCTGCTCCAAGCCCTGAGTATGCTCCATCAGGAATAAGGAGCATCAGGGCATGTACCACAACATGGAGGATACTATCTGGAGTAACCATTCCCAAGAGGAATGGCACAGCTAAGGAATTCTAGTCCAGCTTCCCAAAGTGTCCATGTCTACCTTCCAGCCCAGAGAGAGCCATCACAGCTAATTCTGCTGCTGCCAGGGGACCATCTCCAGAGCTCAAGGCCCTCCAGCAGAATCCTAATGAACTCCACTTTATTTCCAAGGAGTTTCCAAATATGAGCTGTGCACTCAAGGCTTTGGGGAGCACGTGAGAGCTCGCTGCCTGTCAGCTGCTGCCTCTGGAACGTGTGTTTGTCCTTGTTTCCCTGTGCTGACTCCTTCTCCTGAGTGCTGGGCTGTAACACCTTGTACTCTTTTAGGAAGCCCTGCACGGAGCAGGTGGAGTAGAAGGAATTTGCTTGGAAGCAAACACAGCATGCTGGAAACTGAGAGAAGCAAACACCACACCTCTCTGCATCAGCCTCCCCATATCTATGTGCTCCCAAGCTTATCCCAACCCCATGGATATTCCTGGGATTTGCATGTACAACCAGCAGTGCCACAGGGGCTGACACCTCCCAAGAACTTCCAACAGAAATGGAAGGAAGGGAAGGAAAACCAACACGTCAAACATCCTTTGTCCCAGCACCACACACAGGAAGCCAGGAACTCATCCCAGTGGGAATTATTGCTTTCAATCCAGCTTATTATAGCCACAGGCCTTCCCACAGGTAGCTCATTCTGAAAATGCAGCACTGGGAGTGACTCATCCTGCAAAGGGAATGCACACACAAACAAATGCAATCTGCTGGCAGGCAGCTGCCTGTGCCACGGCTCTGCTGTTTATATTAATGATGGAAAGGAAGTGTTTTAACCTGTGATTTTCTAAGGAAAATTTTAATTTTCTGAGGAAGTGTTTTAACCTGTGATTTTCTAAGGAAATTTTTAATTTTCTAAGGAATTCTAAGTGTTTTTAACCTGTGATTTTAACCTTTCGTATTTTCATGGAATAGAAACCATCCATGGAAAACAGGAGTTGTTAAGATGTTGTTTTGCCCTCACTTTGATCTGAACTGGTCAGAAACCTAAACAAAACAGAATTCTCAACTTTTACCCACCAACCTTTGCTGTCCTGATGGAATAACAACACTTATTTTCATCTGACCAAAATGAGGTGGGAGATCTGATTTCGGAAAAATCATCGCTAATTAATGAGTCAATAAACCAAGGTTTTATGTTCTACCTGCAGGGTGTACAGGTGGTGCAGGACCTAGAGGCTGCCTTGACAGCAGCCCAACAGATCCCTGCTGGTTTCCTCTCTTTTCCAGGTGATATCCCAGTGCTGCCCCCGGAGCGCTCACCTGTGACCAGGGGCGTTTGTGCAGTTGGCTGTTCCAGTAGGACCATGTGCTGCAGGAGAGGGTTGTGTGCAGTTCCCCCATCCCTCTCCAACGTTGTAGTGCTCAGGTAGGGAGTGAGGTGAGTGCCAGGGAATAAGGAGATCCGCTGCTGTAAGGCTGGGATTGCGAGCCTCTCTGCGTCCTGCTGCGCTTGGCCCGCCTGCAAACGCACAGCCACAGGGG